GACTTTTCTGAGTGGTGGTCAGTGTCAGGTCAAGAGGCAATAGGCACAAACTGAAACATAGGAGGTTCCCTCTGAACACCAGGAAACACTGAGGGTGATTGAGCACTGGCACAGGTTGCCCAGGGGGGTTGGGGAGTCTCTATCCTTGGAGATGCTCTAGGACACAGTCTTAGACAACCAGTTCCAGGTAGCCCTGGCTGAGCAGGGTACTTGTAGCAGATGACCTCCCGAAGCCTCTTTCAACCTAAACCATTCTGCGATACATAATTTCCCTTTTCAGTAATGAAAGAGAAGTTGGCTAATGATCATCTACTCTGTGGATGTCTCAGAAATCTGCTGCTCCTTTCCTCCCCCCAGGTTAACAATGAATGCAAAGAACAAAAAAACCCTAAGTAAAACACTAGCAGTGCTGACTGGAGTTTTTATCTAATGTTACTTTGTACTTCAGCTTCGGAGTGTGGCATCCATAGCAAACAGAGGTGCTACCCACTAGCTTTTGGAGTTCCTGCTGTCCTCATGGCTGTTGCCTTGGGTAAGTGCATCTGTTGCCATCTCATTGCCAGAGTGATTAGATGATAATGATTTAAGAATAATGAAAAAGTGATAAAAATCTCCAGTTATCAAGGTCTACCAATATCTGATCATTTCTGCAAGTTTTGAATTAAAACTTTTTCTTGGGTTGTGGGGGGTGTGAATGGGATTAACCTGAAGGTCTTACTTTTACTGAAGAGACTGATTTACTAGGAGGGACTGATGGGACTGAGGAGAGGCATGAATATACCTTTGAATTCTACATATTATGTAAATTACTGTCTGTATATCTTGGACTACTGGGGTGTATAAATAAATCTTTCAAATGTAGCATGAGAACCCTCAGAAAAATGTGTTTTGGAAATTTTCTGTAGTCCAGGATTGTGAACTGTGTAAGGTAATTGTCCCCTGCACTGGAGAAATCCCATACTTGGTGTGTTAGTATTTCTCAAAAACACCTGCATTTATACTAGCTATGCTATGAGTCACTCCCTGAGCCTTACTGCTGCAGCACAAAGACCAAGAAACCAGTGGGTGTCAGGGTGTACCACAGTATCCATAATGGTCCTTGTCCTTCATGGTCCTGAGTGGGAGTCCACCCAGCTACCAGTGACTCCACCTTGCCCGTGCATCCAGCCCAGGCTGGATGGCTGTTCTGGGGTTTGCCTGTGTCCTGCCCCACACGTGGGAGGCTGAGGCTGAGGAATGTGCCTGGGTGTGGGAGCAGAGGACACCTTGTCAAGTCTGCAGTTCAGGCAGAGCCTCAAGTGTCCCTGCATAATGTGAGCTGTAACACTCTGAGCTCCTGAAAAGGAGCCTGTACAGCAAGGCCAGAGCTAAGGTCCCAAGTGGTCCTTGTTTTGACCATCCCTCAATCAAACTAATGTCTCACTCTGAGCACTTACCTCAGTTTCCAGATTTACTTTTTTTTGTCTTAAATAGAAGCAATCTGCTGGCATTGATTAGATTTATTTTACTGTATGATAGCATGTGAATAGGCAATTTAATTGCACCTTAGGAGGCTAATTCCTCTCCGATACCACTCCTTGACTATTAGGGTTTCCATACCAAATTTTTTGCCACTATTTTAGTTTAATCCTGAGTTGCTTTTGGTTTCTGTTTGCATGTTATAGTTGTGTTTATATCTGGAAGCAGAATGTACAAGAAAGTTCAACCTCAAGGAAATATAATGCTTGAAGTTTCCAAATGCATTGGAGTAAGTACTGCTCATTCCCAAAACTTCCCAAAATCCCTGGCAGCATTTCTTAAAACTATTCAGTAAACTTGACTAGATCAGAGATCTGTCATGATATGAGGATAACTTCTGAAGCTTTTTTACTTCTTTTTATTACAAAAGGCTTCTTACCAACACCTCCAGATTTTAGACTGCTTTTTTATTTATGTACATCTTGATTTATATGTGAATTTATACACAAAGGAAACAAAGTAAGATGTCAGTGATAGGTAAAAGCTTATCCCAGCATCTAGGAATCATTCATTCCACATTTGTGCACCTTTATGCAGCTCTCTAGTAGGAGACAAACATGCCCTGACCTGAGTCAAGAGCAGAGCTACTAGTATACTTTATCAGCAAAAATTTATTGCTTATTAAGGGAATGTTATTTACAACACAGAGATTCATTGATCCCTACTATATTAAGGAAGTCAAGAGGTTACACATCAGTGTGAGGCTGCAAGGAACAGAGTGGAATCTGCATGAATAGCACTGCATGTCCCAGTTTTACAGTGCCTCAGCTTAGAGATCAGGGGATTTTTTTTCATTTGTGGGCTTCTTCATTTTCCATGCAGATCTGTCAACTTGTTATAGCCCAGTCCATTGCTTATCTTGTAAGCACTCTCAAAACCATATCTCTATAGGTGACTCTGGCGATTGCTTAGAGTGCTGCTCCCAAGGCCCAGCTCAGCCTTGTGTTTTGTTATTCCATGCAGAAAGTCTTAGGAGTTCTTTGAGATTGTATTTGTGTATACTCAATTTCAAGGTGAGTCATGTCTATGAGATGCAGCTTCTCATAGTGAAATGCACTCTTACAGCCATTTGACTCTGAAAACCTGTGCATATGACACTGTTCTATTTATTGTTGTACATAAGTCTGAGAGAGGCAGGTCTTCTACCTCCTAACAGCAGCCCACTTTGAGAAAGTCTACTCTGAGCTGTTTGGTTCACCTAATCCCAAATGCACACTTCAGTGGATACACAGTGTGAGGCCTTAAATGCACCCACAGGTGCTTGGAGCAGTTAACAGAAGTTAAGTCACCTTTAGCACCTTCTACGCTCTGGAAGCAGGAGCATCATCTGTATTGACAAAACAGGTTATTGCATTGATAAATATTTGTAACACCATTGCACATAATTCTGTCTCTCCTCAGTTTGCCATCAAGAACAGATTCGTGCACCGCAGCAACAAGTTCCCCAAGAGAGAGCACTGGCTAGATTGGGCGAGTGAGAAGTATGATGTAAGTAGTGTATGAGCCTCCTCTGCTGTGACATCCCCTGACCCTCAGTTTGTGTCTGCTCTGATCCATTGCCTCAAGCACTGGGCAAATGGTTTTGGGCCTCTGGATCACTTAGTAGCCAATGACAAAGAAAACACTTTCCCTTGGCAAACAAATACAGAGACTTGTAAGTTTTGGGGCTAGAAAAATCATAAGCATCAACTTTCTCAATTTTTTGTTTCCCTTGGTAAACTGGATTTAAACTACAGTATGCTGTTTTAATGACTGCAGAGGAGAAAAATGGGAACGATGCTGCCTGTCATGGTTAATGCACAGGGCGCAACACTTGTCTTGACTGCAGAATTATACTTTGGAATTTCAGCTTATGTGCATAAACACCACATCCCTCCAGGCTCAGTACAATTGCTTACCGTGGCTCTCAAAAGCCTTGTTATCCCATAGTCTCCAGCCATGTCCCTTGCCTCCTATCCACTCTGCCCTGTTGTCAACAGCAGCACAAACCTTAGTGTGTCACTTTTTTCCTTTTGCCTATATGCTGTGTTCATAAGTGAAATTCCTCAGTTATCTGTTCAAATGCCTCCTTCCTAGAAAAATAGCATGGCAATAAGTGCTAAGTCTCATGCTGCCACCAGTGTACATTCTGAGGGTCCCAGGTGTCTAATACCAGTGTCACCTTTAGCAATCTTTTCCACACCCACAAACAGACCTGGTACTATTTTAACAGAAATCAACAGAGGTACTCACAACGTAAGTTGAGTGTGTGGGTAAACATTACATGTTGTCTTTACCTCTTGCTACGCTGTGAACAGCAGTCTGTAACTCTTTTTTTTTTTTTTTTTTTTTCATTTATCAATTCCTCTTGTGTAATTCTCCTTTGCTGCAGAAACAACTGATTGCTCAGATTAAGATGGTGCTGAAGGTGCTTTTTCTTTACATCCCTCTCCCCATGTTCTGGGCACTTTTTGACCAGCAGGTAAAGTAGAAATTGTTTGGCTTGGCAATTAGAGCTATACAATGTCACACTATGCTCTCTGAGGTCACCAGGCATAAAAGGTGCCTATGGCAGAGTGGAAAAACAAATTCTTTAACCTGGTTTTAATGCAAAAAGGTAGTTACTAGGTCATATTAGTACAGGATGTTGTGCAGCCAGGGCACCTCTGTTTATATGAGCATGTCCAGGACTGATCTAGTGACTGAGGCATCTCCAAATCTTGCATCAGCCCACAACTAGGAATGAAACAATAATTTAAAGATTTTAGTTCTAATGTTTCTTCCATCATCAGTTATGATATAAAACTTAAGGTCCTAGTGTAAATGCTCTGGAGAATCAGGGCTGAAATGATCTGGATGCCAGTTTGCTTAATCACTCACACCTAGTTATAAATACCTTACACCTTCAAGCACAAGTCTAAGCCTCTAATTCCCATTCAATTGGACTGAGTGCTCAAGATTCATGAAACGAAGCTTTCATAGTTGAGCAGTGAAGTATGAATTTAGGAGAATGTCTAAGAAAACCAGGAGTTGAAAGCTTTATCCAAGGCAGATGGTAGAAAGTCTGGTCCAGACTCCCCATGTCCTACTGCTTTAGTCCAGTACCTGTGAGCTGCAGCTATCAGTATGACCTGTTACAATTAGGCAGTTCTGTTATGAAATTCAGAGCTAAATACTCATTACATAAGTAATAACTCATATCTTGGCCAGTGGTACATTGTGGGTGGTTAAAGCCTCTCGTCACATACGCAGTAATGAATGTTTTTGCCTCACCCTGGGCTCAGGCTGAAAGTCAGACCCACTTGACTCAGCTATAAGCAGGTTTTTGGGGCAGAGGGCTCAAGGCAGGTCGTGCCCTGGCTTGGCCACTTGCTGCTGTGCTGTGTGAAGGACAGATGTATGTACCAGATGTGTGGGGTGCTTGGGCAGCACACAGGTGTCTGGGTGGCATTTCTGCACAGAACACAGCAGTGCTGTGCAGCGGATGTTCCTGCCATCTCTCCAGCTAATTTCTGCATCTAAATTATTTTCCACTCTATTTCACAAAACAAGTAAATGAAGTTAAATGGGCCATGAGGATCACTTGGTTCAAATGTTTACATTGCAGAGTAAGAATACCCCCAGCAAGCTAGCATTATTTGTTTTTTTGTTGCATCACACATCTTTCGCAACATTTTTCAGAAGGAACTTTGGATGATTGATTTACTGTAACATCTAATTTTCTCTTCTTTTATTAAGGGGTCAAGATGGACACTGCAAGCCACAGCAATGAATGGAGATTTTGTAGGTTACTTTTTATTGCCTTTTTTTAATTAACAGTTTTCAGATCAGTTTTATTTGTTGTCATAATATTAAAAACTATTTCCTTTTTTTCTTTTTCTTCACCAGGGTGTTCAGATTCAGCCAGAACAAATGCAGGTACGTTAATCTTCTATCTGCGAATTTCAAGTACTTCTGAAATGTTATACATGTGTTGCCCTTCATTAAAAGAAGTACTTCAAAAAATATTTCCTTTTTTTTCTCCTTTTGTGTTTATCGTCAACAGACTGTGAATCCAATCCTGATTGTTATAATGGTCCCAGTTGTAAACTATCTGGTTTATCCTTTACTCCAGAAATGCAATATCGATTTTACGTAAGTTGATGCAATTACCCAACTTCAACAGAGGCTTATTGTAATGGTTTCTTTAAGTGGCTCTTCCAGCCCTAATGTAACAAGAGTGAGTATTCAGCTAAGGGGGAAATAGTAGTGTATTTAAAATGGGTTACTATTGTAAAGAAGTTCAAACATAAAAAAAATATAGAATACTGCTAGTGGTATGCAGAGGCACCACAGGGTAGAGGATGAGAATCTACTTATTAGAGTAACAATATTTTCCAGTTAAGGAGAAAATCTTTTGATTGCAGGAGACATATTCTTTACTGTTCTACGCATCCCCTGTGTGTACCCCCTCTCCCTCCCGAAGAACAGGAACTGGAAATACAACATACATTCTTAGCATGTGTCATGTTTTGGGCTTGAAACTACCTGAGATTCAAGATATTTCCTCTTCAGTGCCAGTGAGGAGTCTGGCTTACTGGATACTTGAGGGTGAAGCTTCAGAGGGCACTACACACTATCTTTAGTATTGGTAGAGAAGGAGCTAGCACTTGCTTGAAGAGACAGAATACAGTTCTTAAAACAATTTTCATAGAGTTAAGACGCAATGCTATTTTTTCATATAGTTATGAAAAACTGTATGTGATGTGTGGCAAACACTGTCATTTGTTTGTGGACACTCAACGTTGGACAAATGATGCCACAAACTATCTACTTTAAACTTGCCCTTACAGCTTAACTGAATGTCAGTAGATGTCTCCTGGGTAAACGTATTTCCCTGGTATTTTTTTGTTCAGTATTATTTAAACATAGAAATATGGACACAAGTTGTAACCTTTTAAAAGGCATGTCTTTGTGTCTCTTCATTGTTTTAAAACTAACAGCTTTATTGGGTTTTCTTTTATTTCTTCCTGCAAAACAGGCTTTTTCAGAAACCTAATAATTACGTTCAGTCAATATCTGAACCCAGCAGATGCAGAATAACAGGTTAAGATGCTGCAGGAAAGATGTATTTCCTGATAGCATAACCAGCTTAGCACAGTGCTTTCTGTAATAAGGTCAGCCCTTCAAATGGTGATCATGTGCTAGTTGTGGCTATTTGAGTTTCCTACTGTGGAAACAAGAAAACCAGCTGGAGCTTTGAGTGAACACCTGTCTTAACTCACATGTGCCTTTTGTCCTTGTACTAGGCCCCTGAAGAAGATCACTGTTGGTATGTTCCTTGCCTCTTTGGCTTTTGTTGCTGCTGCCCTTGTGCAAGTGCAAATAGATGTAAGTTCAGCCACATGCAAGTATTTACTATTAATGTTTAGTTGTTAATACAGAACTAAGTGTGTTTAAGGGGAAAATGAGCCAAGACTCTGAAATTTGGAACCAAGCATTTGAGCACAGAAGTAGAGGTAAGGGAAACCTTCAAGTATATTGCAATACTGTGATTAGCATAAGAAAATTAACTAGCATAAACACCATCCTGCAAAACATCCTGTTGTCACTAATATAAATTATGCATTAAAGGCAACACCAGTCCTTGAACTGAGACTGAAAGCTGAAAACTAGACATTTGCTTGGCCTACTAGGGGGCTGCTTTGTATGTTCTATTGCTTCTGATATTCCACTGGAGGTGAAGTGTGACAGTCTGGCAAGCATCATCACAGCCTGAGCAAAGATGACACCTGTTTAAGGCAGGATTCATCTTGCATAACCTCTCTTGCCCCAAAGGGGGAGGTCCTATGCCTGAACCAGGTGAAGGTTTTGCCTATACCTGGAGCATTGGCAGCACCTCTGGGAGGTGATCCAGTGCATCCCAAGATCTGAATATCTATCTAGAGGTGCCTGCCTGTCTTTGTGCACTATCAGGGCAAGATGCCCAGCTCTTAAGAACCAAGGAATGGTTTGGGTTGGAAGGGACCTTATAGATCATCTAGTTCCAATCCCCCTGCCACAGGCAGGGACACCTTCAACTAGACCAGGTTGCTCAGAGCCCCATCCCACCTGGCCTTGAACACTTACAGGGATGAGGCATCCACAACTTCTCTGGGCAACTTATAGCTTTAGTTAGGAATGAGGAATTGTCTCCTTAATGCCCAAGTCCAGCAGTGATATTAGCTATGTATTCAACTCTGTCTCTTGAAGCTGGAAGTAAAGGGTCTGGCCTATAGCTAGTACAGACACATCCAGGCTGTTTTCCCAAATATCCTGTTCAGAAGGCCAGAGCTGTGCACATGCACACACATACCACACAGCATCGGGAAGAAGCTTCATCAAAACTGGTAACTTCCTAGATTGCTGCATGGCAATCTCCTGCAGGAAGGAAAATATGGACCTGTGTAGGGTTTATTTTTTTGTGTGTGTGACATACCTGAAGAGATTGAAGCAGACAGGAGTATAGGAAGGGAGGAAAGGCTGAGGCAAAACTGAAATAGACACAACTCTTGCAGCTCTTGATGCTCTCCAAGAGTAGAACCTACTTACTGTTAGACCTGGTGGGAAGTGGAGTCTTCTTAAGTTCAATTTCTCTGGGCTGTCACACCAGGCAGTGCCCATACGTGCTTCTCTCCAGTTCAGCAGCATCAGTGTTGGGGGAAAATGAGTCAGAACACAGTTCAAAGAAAATTAAACCCAGGCAGCCATAGGATATGGGAAAAGCTGCAGGATGTGAGATACCACATCTGGCCACGGAGGCATCATTGTGGATGAGACACTTCTTTCCTCAGGCAACTTGTGAGACTAGTAACAAAACCTATTATTAAAGTTGCATCCCTTGGACATTCACAGATTGTAAGGCAAATACTAACCTTCAACATGAAATGATAAAGGTCACAGTAATTACGGTAATTTTTTGCATGTGTCTTAGGGCACTGATTTTACTTTTTTCTGTCCTATAGAAAACTTACCCAGTTTTC